ACTCACTTGTTCAGTGACATCGTAAATCAGATATATATATATTTATAAGGATTCTGATAAGAATGCATAAATCACATTTAAAAGCTCCGACAGTGAGGTAGTAGTAGTTACTATAAAACGAATCAATTGATTACGTTAACTCATTTTCTTGATTAGCCGTTAAATACTACACTGAATTAGATATTTTAAAACCTGAAATAAGTAAAAGATCTGACATGAGTAATAATAAAAATNAAATTAATGAAATATTGTTGTGAAGTATTCGGAATCGATAGTGATTCTGTAACGCCGATGCTGTTTTATGTGTATGCACACTTTGCTATGGCTGGTTTTGGGGTGTTCGCGTTGTTTTTGTGTGTGTGGCGTTTGTACGATAGGTAGGTGTTATTATATTTATTATTATTGTTATTATTATTATTATATTATTATTGTATTTATTATTATTATATTAATTAAGTTGGCTCTATGGATTGCTGGTGTTCGCGTGGATGTGTACAAATTTAGAGGATTCCACACGCGTTTTCTTCAGTGTGAATCTGCGTGAAAATTTCTCACTGCCTTTATTTTGGCTGCAAAATTTATTTATTATCAATATTTTGGACGATTTTGGTAATAATAATGATGATAATAATAATGATAACATAAATAATAATGGTAGTAATAATAATGTAAAATTGTTATCGCCACGACGATCAACTTATCGATACATGATCGTCGCATTCGTGATAGCAACCTTCCTGTTCGCCTTATTTTGGCAGTTCAATCAGGTGAGCAGTTCAATCATTTATTAATAATTGTAGCATAATCATAATATAATATAATTTCAGTTCCTATTATTAATTCAGTCATCGTCACTGTTTGTGACTGCCGTATTGAAGTGGAAATCGTCGAATCGAGCGATCAGCCAAATTCTGATCGCGCAGAGTTTTGCGTTGTTTTGCGTGGCGATCGCGCAGTTCGCGCAGCCCATGGCACTCTTCTCGGTATCGACGCAGTTCAACGCGGCCGTATTGATCACGTTCGCGCTGAGTCGTTTCTTTCATCAGTTTAAGTAAGTCATCAGTTACCTTATCACTTGTATTATCAGTTACATTATCACTTGTATTATCAGTTACCTTATCACTTGTATTATCAGTTACCTTATCACTTGTATTATCAGTTACCCTGTCAGTAAGATGTCAGAGAATTTTATCTTTGTTTCAGTTTAAATTGTTGTTAATTCAGTGAATATTCATGATTGCTTAAAATCTATTTTAGGAGTGCCATTGGTATGGTGTTCGTGAAAACGTTGGTGGCATTTCTATTTTGTGTGCTGATAAATTTTTGTGTGAATAATGGCTTGAATACATCCAATTCGGATCGACATATTTGGACGTTTGTAAAGGCAAAGCTTGGCATGCATGATAAGTGAGCGAGTTATGATTTTAATTATTATTAATTTTGTTGTTTTCATAATATTCAGTGGTATTATTATTATTAATGTATATTTATGATTGCTCTCTGAG